CGAGCAACCTCTGCCTCCTAGGTCTAAGCAATTCTCCCACCTTAGTCTCCTGAGTAGCTGAGACTATAGCTACTATAGCACCACTATGCCTGGCCAACGTTTTTGCTGCATTTTTAGTAGAGATGCGGGTTTCACCATGTTGGCTAGGCTGGTCTGGAACTCCTGGCCTCAAGTGACCCACCATCTCGCCTCCCAAAGTGCTGGGATTGCAGGCGTGAGCCATCGCGCCCAACGTGTCTTAACAAAGCACCCTTATCTAGCCTTATGATAGAAACATGACGGAAGTGGATAAGGGCCTTGTCAAAGGGAGGCTGCAAAGGCCAGCAAAAGAGAAGGGCGTGTCTCCCTCGGTCTCACCTAATATGGGGTTTGGAGGCATAGGCCTGGAGGGGCTCCTTTCCTTTCCCTCTACCCCTTGCCCCCACACCACTCTTGAGGGTGCCTGGGCTCTGGAGTAACTCTCTGCCTCTTCCTGCCGGTGAAGCTACTGGATTTTCTTTCCCAGGATGCCTTGCTGGAGATTTGCCAGTCCCTCATGGGGTCCACAGCTTCTCCTAGCCCTTCCAGGACTCTGCGGACTTCATAAAGGCTGGTGGTCCTAGGCACAGAGGAGTTTCACTTCCAGGGTCCAGAAAGCAGTGAAAACCATTAGGGGGCTCTCTCGTGGGCAGTTCCCCTACAAACTTTTACATAGGATTTGATGGGTATGGAATGTGAGATCCCTGGGTCAGCAGCGTACCGGCTCCCCACTCTACCACCTTGTTGGCCCTACCCTCAGACCCCCAATCCTTACCCCCAACTGCAGCCCCACTGCACAACCCTCCATCTGTCCCCCAAGGGCCCATGGGCACTGCCTGAGTCCGCTTCTCCAGTGATGGAGCTTCTGCCTTTGACCACAGGAGCCCGGGGCACTCACCACTTTATAAATCTATAGGCTGGCCGGGCGCAGTGGCTCACGCCTGTAATCCCAGCACTTTGGGAGGCCGAGGCGGGTGGATCACGAGGTCAAGAGATCGAGACTATCCTGGTCAACATGGTGAAACCCTGTCTCTACTAAAAATATAAAAAATTAGCTGGGCATGGTGGCGCGTGCCTGTAATCCCAGCTATTCAGGAGGCTGAGGCAGGAGAATTGCCTGAACCCAGGAGGCGGAGGCTGCGGTGAGCTGAGATCGCACCATTGCACTCTAGCCTGGGTAACAAGAGTGAAACTCCGTCTCAAAAAAAAAAAAAAAAATCTATAGGCTGACCCTGAACTCTGGTCATTACACCACCCAGACATATCACAAACCTGTGTCCTAGGTCCCAAGACTTATGGCCCATGTGTGAGATTTTCTGCCAGGATGTGACTGGCAGATGGGCAAGCATGTAACCAAGCCGTGGGTTCCTTTCTTCTCTAATTCTGCTGCTTTCTGTCAGCTCCACACGCCAGTCACTTCTACGAGCCCTCAGCCATGAGCCTGCAGCCATGTGGGCCAAAGCGAATCAGCTGTCCTAACACTCCAAGCACATCCCCCAGACCCCACACTTGGGCGGCAGAAATGCTCATCACGTTCCAGCATCTCTGGAGCTGAAATCGAGACCTTTCTGGAAATAATGGGTGCTCTCTGCTTCCACCCCTTGGGATTTCCTTGCTCTGGCATTTCAAGTGAGGCAAAGGGCTGGTAAGGCTGTTCCCAAGGCTGGCTCCTAACCCTCTCTGGGTTGTGAGACTGTCAAGTTCTCTGGGGTTCTGCTGAGTCACTGCTGCTGAAGGTAAGCCTGGGAGAATCGGCAGGTGGCTTCAGACACCCTCCCTAGAGGCAGGGAAGCAGAAGCAGAGTCCCGAGCTGATGTCAGCGTGCAGAGCAGATGCTCTCCAGAGCCCTTGTACCAGCGGAGGCTCCTCCCATCAGTGCTGTGAGTATGAGCTGCTGCTAGGGGTCCCAGCTGCCCTTCTTCAGATGCATGCTCCTGGCCATCAGAGCCCCTGTGCCCATGCTCCACACCCTTCGGAGGAGGAGGCAACCCACAGACAATGGATGACTGATGTGGGGTCGGGGGTGGTATAAAGCTGTCCTCTAAGACGGGAGAGTTCTGTGGTACCATTCACCCTCCAGAGCTCCCCGTGGGACCAGGTGGAGGCTAGACTTAGCTGAACCCACATTTCTGCCTCACTTCCTCCCCTGCCCCATCCTGCTTCTTTCCCTGCCACAAGAAATTCACAGGAGAGCAGAACCTCAAAAGCCACGTGCAGCTGAATCCTCGCCTCAGGCTCTGCATTCAAGGAACTTGACTTAAGGCAGGCAGTGTTCATCACTGCCCTTCTCTGACACCCTCTCCTCCTAAGACTCCGGTGCATCAGGGCGGTGGGGGTGGATGGGGAATCTTCACACCCACTCAGCTTGCCCTGGCTAGGTTCTGAGTGTGTTGGGTGATTTTTTCCTTAGTCTTTTCCCTTCATGTCCGAGCTAAGGGGTGAGCAGAGCATGACAGGGTTAAGGCAGTTTCTAGTGAGCAGGGGGAAGGCCAGGGACAGGGCTTGGGAGCCTCAGGGTAGGATTCCAAATGACCAGCAATGTCCAATCTGAAGTCCTGGAGACTGAGTGAGCCGAACAGAAGAGTCTCAGAGGGAACCCTGCTGGAGAAACGCAAGGGAAAAAGACAAGCCAGGAAAAGGAGGGCACGGGGTGGGGGCAAGTGAGCCTCATTCCTCCTGACAGTATCACCTGCTACGCACCGGTCACATCTGCACGGGGGCTGGAAGGTGTCCCCATGCTTGACTTTGCCCAGTAGATGATGGTTGTGTGGGAGTGTGGGGGAAGGTGACTTTCTTAATTAACAACTGCCATTTATTGAGTATGTACTGTAAGACAGACATGGTGCAAAGTGTTTTGCATAAATTATTTGAATCCTCACTGCAATCCCATAAGAGGAAACTGAAGGTCAGAGAGGTCCTCAGTCCTGTGGCAGCTGTTGTGTTCTTGGCTCCTGGGCAGCTGATGTGAAAGGGAGCCCTGACCCAGGGGTCAGGAATGACAGTTCTGGTGTTGGCTGTATTTTCCGGGTATGGAATCTTGAGATTGAGGATTCAATCTCTTTTGAGTAGCTGGGCTTATAGGCATGTGCCACTATGCCCAGCTAACTTTCGTATTTTTAGTAGAGATGGAGTTTCGCCATGTTGGCCACGCTGCTCTTGAACTCCTGATCTCAGGTGATCCACCCTCCTCGGCCTCCCAAAGTGCTGGGATTACAGGCATGAGCCATCAAGACCGGCCAAGAAGCCCATTCTTCTGGAGCAAACAGACAACCTTCATGCCCTAAGGCCAGGCCACCATGCTGTAGCCTCAGGCTGCCTCTAGGACACATGTGCCCACAGTGTCCCAGCTGGGCTACCAGACCCTGGCACCGAGCTTACAGACACTACAACCATCTAAGGTTGTCACCAATCTGGATGCTGGCCATTCCATTCAAGACCCAGTGCAAAGCCAAGCAAGGCACACAAGTCACCCCATATGAACTCCTAGGCCAGGAATGGAGAAGCAATCCCTTGCCTCCGTGGAGGGAGGCCAGGGGCTGAGACTCCCTACGCCACCGCTGACTGGTTCCGGTCTTGCCCAAACTGGGATTTAGAAGTTCTTCCTTGTAGCTAAATTAGCTCTAGCTATATATAGCATAAGACTCCGGGGACAGGCGGTGACAGGCACTCACATATTTCGCTGCTTTTGAGGATGGAGGAACACAGGAGAAACACCTTTCAGAGAGGAGCCACTCTGTGAGGGAGGTGCCCTTACATTTGTTTTCAAATCAGCAAGTAGGTACTGGCTGTGGGCTGGCAGTGTGCCGGGGTTAGCAAGATGCAGGCCCTCCTCTTGCCAAGGTCAGATGGATCACTGTGGTCCTGAGGCTGACCTGCACAAGTCCAGGGCCAGCAAGAGCCCAACGGGGAGCCCATTGTGAAGGGAGCTCTCCTAGGGAATGGCAGGGGTTCTGGAGAGCCAGGAGATAGTGTTGCTCGACAGGACCAGGAGGCCAGAGTTTATGCCTCAGCTCTGCCACTTTTATGGGCATTTTTTGTTTGTTTGTTTTTTGAGACAGGGTTTCCCTCTGTCGCCAGGCTAGAGTGCAGTGGTGTGATCTTGGCTCACTGCAACTTCTGCCTCCTGGGTTCAAGTGATTCTCCTGTCTCAGCCTCACAAGTAGCTGGGACTACCACACCTAGCTTATTTTTTTGTATTTTTAGTAGAGACGGGGTTTCACCATGTTGGCCAGGCTGGTCTCGAACTCCTAACCTCATGATCCACCCACCTCGGCCTCCCAAAGTGCTGAGATTACAGGCATGAGCCACTGCGCCCGGCTTATGGGCAGTTCTTTAACCTGTCTGAATCCAACATCTTCAGCCACTGGGGAAGATTGTAGTACACGCCTCAGTATGGCAATGTGCATATGATAACAAAAAAGCACTCCGTAGCTATAAATCTCTATACACACTTAAGACATCATCAAAATAACAGGTTATGATACACCTGAGCTTTCCTCTAAATTACATAACATAACTGAATGCCTTAAACATGCTCCAAAATGTTGTGAGCTGCCTCTTCTGTATAAGGCAACGTGAGGACCGAAAGAGATGAGGCCAGGGAGAGTGCTCAATGTATCTGTGATTAGAACAGGAGTCAGTACAAAGAGCTCAGCCTGCGGCTCGGCGTCCGCTCACAGGAGAACTTGGTCTCTTTGTGCTTTTTGTGAAAAGGAGACCAAAGTCCAGGAGTTGGAGAAACTCCTCGGAAGCTGCAGGCCAGGAGCCAGCAGAGACGGTCTTGCAACAGTGGGAGAAGCCATTTGGAGGACTGAGGCTTTCGTAGTCCAGAGCTTCCAAATGCCCTGGGGGAACTGTTCCTATGCAGATTCCCATGCTTGCCCAGCCCAGAATTTGCTGATTAGTAGCCTCTTCTCCCACTAAGGAAGGACCAATCCTTCCCCACTTATCCCCATCCCTGGGTGGAGCCACCCAGTGCTTACCTGGGAGGAAGGGGATGATCCTTTGCTTGGGGTCCTTCTGGCCACCTTCAATTGGAAACTTATCCAAAAGCTGCATCTGAGAAGCCAGACAGAGGGACAGGATTCAGAAGACCAGAACGTTCCTCATCATCCCTTCCCCACTCCACTCCACTGCTCCAGGGCCCCACTGTCCTCACACGGATGAGTAACGGCTGAGATCCCTCATTTCACAGACGATTAACAAACTGCATGGGGCGTGAGAGGGAGGAGGCCAAAGCTCTCTCTGCATCAAAGAGGGCAACTGACCAATCTCAGGAAGCAGGTAGGAGTGTGTGTGGGGGTGGGGGTGCGGGTGGGGTCAGGAGATCACCCAAGGAAGGCTGAAGTGGGGACCAGAGGCTTTCAGGCCAGGCTGCCCATAGAGTTTCCAGAGGCTCCTCTGGGCCCAGTTTCTTTCTTACTTCATCTGTGATGTGAATCCTTCAGCCACGGGCCATCCCAAACCCTCTTGGGCGAGGATGGGGGAAGGCCCCGCCTGATACTTTAGACAGACCACCCACCTTCCCGAACTGTGCTGTGGAAACAGACTCAGCTGTTATTTTAATTGCAAAACCAAATCCATCCCATTGCCCCCGCTGCCGGAAGACCCCTCCTCCGCTTCCTACCTTCCCACCCTGAGATCGCTGCTGTTTTTCCAGGGACAGACCCACTGGAAGAGTTTCCAGGGTTCTGGAGAAATAACTGTTTTTTCTTTGCTATTCTGGGCTGAAATTCTATGTAAACGGGAAAAACGCACAGGACACAGGATGGATGAGGCCAGGGCCCCTTTGTGTGTGGCTGATCTCCTTTCCGAGGCACAGGCAGGAGGGGAGTCATGATCTAGTCCTGCTGCCCCAGCTGTGTGACCTCAGGCAAAGAATGGAGCCTCTCAAGGTTGAGCTTCAGGCCCCTCCTTGGTAGAATAAGACGGATCAAACACATGATCTTTGAAGTCCAATCAGTCCTTAAGATATATATTGAGTATGTACTTTACAGCATGGGGCACTAAGGAAAGGGCAGTAAAGAAAACAGACAAAATCCCTGCCCTCTGGGAGTTTACACTCTAGTGGAGGGAGACAAACAGTAAACAAATAAATATGTCATATGCAAGGGAAGATCAGATCAGTGCTGCAGAGGAAAATCGAGTAGGATAAGGTACTTGAACAGAACACAAGTTGTCACTTTATATAGGGCGACAAGGAAGGCCTGACCCCGAGCTAGCAATTCTGCAGAGACCTGCAGGGGGCGAGAAGCAAGCTACCCTGGAGAGGGAGAACCTTTCAGGCAGGGAAGCAGGACATGCAAAGAACCAGACAAGGGCAATGTGGCCAGAGCAGTATGAGCCAGGAGCAGAGGAACAGCCAGTGAGATCTGAGAGGCAGGATGGGCCAGGGCATGGAGGGCCCGGTGAGGCTGTGGTGAAAACTCGAGGCTTATCGTGAGGGAAGGGGAAGTCCTGGAGGGTTCTGTGCAGAGAGAGATGATCTGCTTCACACTTGGAAAAGACGGCTCTAGCTACGGTGCAGGGAATGGACCACAAGGTGGAAGCAGGGAGACCAGTTAGGATCCTGCTGAAGGCAACTTGGACCAAGATGTTAGCATTGGAGGTGGTGAAAGTCTGTTTAGTGTTGCTGTAAAGGAATACCCAAGGCTGGGTAATTTATGAAAAAAAAAGCTTATTTAGCTTGGCTCACACAATTCTACTGGGCATCTGGTGAAGCCTCAGGCTGCTTCCACTCACGGCAGAAGGCGAAGGGGAGCGGGCGTGTGCAGAGATCACAGGGCAAGACAGGAAGCAGAGGGCAAGGGGGAGGTGCCAGGCTCTTTTTAACCAGCTCTCTTGGGACTCACTCATTACCAGGAGGACAGCACCAACTATTCATGAGGGATCAGCCCCAGTGACCCAAACACCTCCCATTAGGCCCACCTCCAACACTCGGTATCAAATTTCAATATGAGGTTTGGGAGGAACAAATATCCGAGCTATAGCATGATCCTAGGCTAGACTCTGCGTGTGTGTGTGTGTGTGTGTGTGTGTGCGCGTGCGTGCATCCCTTTCCATCCATCCATCCCTTCATCCACCCATCCATCTCTAATACACAATTTTAGAACTGTCTCTTGCATAATAATTACCCAACATACCCAGGCTATTTAGATCCCATATAATGAAGGGCAGGTCACTGGTGATTCCATTCAAAACAAGAGAGAGACTGCAGCATGATTAACTTTCACTTCCCTGAATACAGATGGATATTTAGCAAAAGCTGGCTCATGAATTTTTCTTTTCCTTTTCTTTTTCTTTTTCTTTTTTTTTTTTTTGAGACAGAGTCCAGCTCTGTCACCCAGGCTGGAGTGCAGTGGCATGACCTCAGCTCACTGCAACCTCTCCCTCCCAGGATCAAGCGATTCTTATAGCTGAGATTACAAGTGTGTGCCACCACACCTGGCTAACATTTGTATTTTTAGTAGAGATGGGATTTCGCCATGTTGGCCAGTCTGGTCTCGAACTCCCTACCTCAAGTGATCCACCTGCCTCAGCCTCCCAAAGTGCTGGGATTACAGGTGTGAGCCACCGCGCCTGGCCACATAAGTTTTCAATGTTGAAGTCAAACTCTCAAACATTTAATAATTACCTGCTATGTGTAAAAATAGCAACTGGGCCATAACACTATAAACAGGACTTTTTTTTTTCTTTCCTACACCTACATGTTCAGCAAAGGATTTTTAAAGTTAATTCATTTTCACATAAATTCTACACAGATTCAGATTACTGTTTTTTCCTTTTCCTCACCCATACTGTTTTTGTAAATTTCATTTCTATATTACATTACGACTTAAGTAATTCATGTTCACTAAGGGAAAAAACTAGAAGTTCCAGAAGCAGTGGCTGGTCAAAAAGAGAGTAAGAATCACTCATAATCTCTCCTCTGACATTAATATTTTGGAATATCTATCCTTGCTAGGCATTTTCCCATGCATGCAAATAAAACAAACCCACCAATACTTTTACACTATATAATGAAACATTTTTCCATATCAATGAATACTTTCATACAGCTTTTTTTTTTTTCGCGACAGATCGGGTCTCACTCTGTTGCCCAGGCTGGAGTACACTGTGTAATCATAGCTTACTGCAGCCTCAAACTCCTGGGCTCAAGTGATCCTCCCACTTCAGCCTCTGTTATAATTAGGACTAGATGTGCGCCACAATGCCCAGCTAGTGTAAAAAATTATTTTGTAGGGATGGGATTTCACTGTGAGGCTGTTGTGAAGATCCTGGCTTCAAGCGATCCTCCTACCTTAGCCTCCCAAAACACTGAGATTACAGGCGTGAGCCACTGCGTCCGGTCAGCATTCTTAATCGGGACACAGAATTTCAGTGTCTGGATGAGCCATAGTGTATTTACCCACTCCCTACTGTTGGAGATTTAGGTTGTTTCTGACGTTTCACTGCTATATACAGCACTATAGTGAATACCCTTGTTCACGCGTCTGTGCACGTTTCCTTAATACCAATGTATTCCTTTTTACTTTTTATCTTGTATTCTATGCATGTTCATAAATACCTTAAATCTTTTCCATAAGAAGAATGAGAATTAATAAATGGATAACTAACATGTTACTGGGGCCTCTGAGAAATGCTCCACAGTACTGAGATGGTGGGCTCAGCAACATGGGCCCAGGTATGAAATGATTTGTTCTTCTCTCCATCACCTGCCTCCCAAAACAAGGTGACCAGCTGTGCCACACAAGTGATGGTACCTCACCCAAGTTGCTGTATCTCTCCGGGGCTTGAGGGAGTTAGGCTACAAAAACTTTTCATTTTCTTCTCCCAGCTCTGACATGCCTATGTTCTGACTCCTCCATCTCTTTCAGACCTAAGAGCCTTCAATTCTCAGTCACAGTGCAGAGGGAATGTGGTGCCCTGAGGAGTGGGCAGTGGGCGGAGGCAGGCAGGCCTCATGCACTCATTCCTTTCCTCCAGAACAGTTACTGTACGCCTTCTCCACGTCAGGCTCTGTCTTAGGTGCTAGAAATATAAGTTAAACTGCAGCCTCGCGGCTGGGTGTGGCAGCTCGTGCCTGTAATCCCAGCACTTTGGGCGGACAAGGCTAGAGGACTGCTTGAGGCCAGGAGTTTGCAGAGCAGCCTGAGAAACCCCATCTCTACTAAAAAATATACAAAAATTAGCTGGGCTTGGTGGTGCGTATCTGTAGTCCCAGCTGAGGCAGTAGAGTCGCTTCAACCTGAGAGGCAGAGGCTGCAGTGAGCCAAGATCGCACCACTGCACTCCAGCCTGATGGAGCGAGACTTCGTCAAAACACCACCACCACACACGCTGCACACACACACACACATACACACCCGCAGTCTTCACATGAAGGAGCTCAGGAGCTAGCTCTAGAGCCGGGTTTCACAACCTTCCGCATGCATCCACGGTTCTTGGCAGGTTCTGATTCAGCGGGTCTGCGTGGGGCCTCACAGGTGCTAAGCCCAGCCACACCTGTCACCTAACCCTACCACCAGGCTAAGCCAGCAGAGTCCTGGGGCTGCTGTCCCTGTCAGTCATCTCTCACCCTCATGGACCACTAGCCACCAGAAACGGAAGCACAGCTAATTAGCTGCTAGGGACGGCACACCTTTTCGGCCCACAAGACAACTTGCAACAAAAGCAAATGTCCAGGCTCAGACTCAAAAGCAAGCCGAATCACCGCGGCCCAGCCGAGTTCACTCCGTGTGGCGCTTGCAGCTGGCGCAGCTGCCCAGTTCAGCATCTCGGCCCTCAATTCGGCAGAGCGGCGGGCGGTGAGAGAGAGTGCAAATGTCACCCTCCCAGGGGGCCGGGCAGCCTGCGAAGCGGGCTCTGTAACCCGGTCAGTACCCAATTTGCAGGGCTGGTTTCCACAGATGACAACAATCGGGGCTGTCTCCAGAACCGGCTGCCCCGCCCTCTGGGAAGGCCCCGCCCAGCGGAGAGTCCCGCGGAGCCACCTTCGCAGGCAGGAAGTGGATTCTCCCGTCACTCCCGCGCGGGCCCGACTCGGGCTGGAGGAAAAG